GGTAGTCAAAGCTTTGACAGTCTCCACAGGGACGTCTGGAGCTGACACCCATCCATAGTGGGCCGTGACAGCGTGTTCCATCGGGTGTAGCGTGCGGTTCTGGAAGTTAAAAAACAGAAACAGAAACAATCTTGCTCTGCGTCCCATTAACACACGAGCCCCTCTGGCAAGAAAACCCTGCTTGTGGTGTCGAGATGTCGTTCGGACCCGGCTGCCCATTCCCTTCTGATACCTGTGCTCGGCGGTGTACCCGTCTGGTGGGAGATGAACAGGGCAAGAATACATTTTTGCTCTGGCAAGGCTGCCCCTCGAGTGTTCAGGATATGAATGTGCCGTGTGTGTCTTTTGAAATAAAGCTTGTAACTGCAAAACCGTAATGGGAAGCTAGCTCACCCGATTCTTGCCTACAGGTCCTCTGTGCCCCCAGGAATCTGGGTTTTTCCTGAGCTGCAAGTGCCTTAACTCTGGGGAGATGGAAATCGTGTTGCCGGCACCCGCACCTGTCCCAGCATCCCCTTAATTGGCAGCTGGTAATACCAGTGGTCAAAGGCGGAGGGAAACGCGACACAAGGTGTATTTTCCTGCTGCACTCGATTGCTCCTTCCGAGGCTTTCTCAAAGCAAAGAGCGTTCTGAGAACAACTTCTCTCCCCCCAGGGGAAGCCAGAGCTCAGCCTGGAGTGGCTGCAGGCCCGGGGCAAGGCAGAGCAGGTCTTTCAAACGCTGCTCTGCCGTGTCCTGCAATCCCATCCCCTGTCAGATACGGCCGCGTGATCCTGCTCCCTCCCAGGCTGGCTTCGACCGCCTAGATGAGAGCCTGGATTGATGTTACTATGGCAACATCTCCCCTCCTCCTTTCGAGCTGCAGCTTGGCCCTGTTCACAATTGAATAATTTTCCATTGAGCTGTCACAATTAATTGGTGGATTTTTATTAGCCTTTTAGAACCACACTGGGTTGGGCCCAGCTTGGCACCTCGGAGCATTTCACAGTGTTTTCCATTCTATTAGTGACTTAGATTCCCCAGCAGCAGCTCTCAATCCTCGGCAGCCAGAAAGCCACTTCATTAGGGGGTGACAGATCTGAGCCACAAAAGAGCCAAGCTGACTGGGGCGCGGAAATTGGGTGGCAGGGTGGGACAGGAACGCAGGAATCCAAACATCACCTTGGGTTAAAGTGAGCTGCCTTCCCCTGGAGCTCCTCGCGGCTTCTCCCCTCCGCGTGCCCCGCCGGGACAGGCGCCAGATAGCGACACGGAGTCTGGGAGGCACATCGTACTCCCTTTGGCTTCTACCGCTGTCCAGGGAAGGGATGATCCGGGATGCGTCCTGCTAGTGTGACAGACTGGTGGGGATGGAACACATCCCCCGGGGTCTTCGTCTGTTGGTAAAGAGAGGCAAACACTCAGCCCTCAAGCCACAGAGGGTAAACCTCAAGAAAATGAGTCCCAGCGTGTCCAACAAGGACAGTTCCGGAGCTGAGAATAGACATCGCAGGGTGGCCACGTGAAGGAAGTGAAATCCCAGCCCAGGCTCTCGCCCCAGTCTTGGCTCATTTCCACTTCGTTGGGGCGGGGGCGGGCAGTAAGCTGGATCCCTCCTCCCTTCACTCACTGACACATGCAGGGAAGCCAGAGAACATGCTTGTGAAAAGACCAGGTGAGACAGGACAGATCGAAGGCCAAGGGCAGAGGACCACCCTGCAGCCAGGTGCCCTGGTGACCCTCACTTGGCCAATTTCTACTCTTAGAATGAAAGGAGCCACCTCCATGGTCACTAACTGCAGGAACCTGGAGGTCACCGAGGCTGAGCTACTCCCGCATGTGTTTACCACACAGTTTGGGAACATACTGGCTGGTTTCTAATTTAGTAGGATGAGATTAACCTCAGAGAAATCGGAGATAAAGAGGGGGAAGGGGAGGGCCTTCAGAGGGGTGGATATCCCGTCATCACTTTCACCCTTCAACAACCATCAGCAACAAAGGTATTCTTTCCAGTTGCTTGTACATTCGAGCGCAATAAGCCCGAACATCTAAACGATCAAACCGTTAAGGGCATTGCTCTGTTCAGTCCACTCCCGTGCTGTATCTGGCGATATCACCTCTTCAGTTCCCCGCCCCTCGCTCTACCCCCCGGGGCTTGGTCGAGGTTCGGGGGGCTTTCACGCCACCCCCCGTGCCCTCCTTGGCGGGGACGATCACTCTCCAGATTAGTGACGGTGAGGTTCTTTGGAAAACATTGACTTTGCAAGCAGAGATCAAGCTCCCTGTCTGGGTTTGCTCTAGCTGGCGTGATGGGATGGTCTCCTCCAGCCCAGGCACCTGTCTGCATCCTTTCGGCGTGTTGGTGCAAGACGCACACACGAGAGCCTTCAACTTGGGCGTCTAGCTAAACACCGGATGGGGAGTATTTTTGTATTTTCCCCTATGTTTCAAACATTAATAAAAACGTTTTAAGAGAAAAGGAGGCTCACGGGGCAGGCAGCGGGCCATCCAGCAGCTGCTGAAGTAAGTAAGGAGCCACCCTGTCCTTAACTTTGCCCCAGGGCCAGAGACGCTGCAGGACAGAGTCCCTTGAAGACCCCAAGTCAGGAAAGGTGGTTTTACCCTCTGAGCAGGGAGCTGGGGCCCTGCCCACGATGTCGGGTCGCCATCAGGGAGGTGGGTAGGCATGACAGGGACACCGTGGCCGGTCGGTCTTGTCCCACCTGACGCCTTCCGTGCCAAGGCAACACTTACAAATTGATTCCCCAGGACACTCCATTTGGGAATGCCTCCCGTAAAACATCCCAACACCTGAGAAGCTGGGTTGGCTGCAATCCTGGACCTCTTTTCTTCCACGACAGAGGGAGGAGCCCGACTGGAGCCCAGACCTCTTCTGTTGGCCACGCTGGGGCCACCTACCACCATCAACGAGTTAGTCCAGCACAGTATGGCAGCACATGCTGTGTGACCCGGGGCAAGCTGCTCCACATCTCTGAGTCTCAACTTCCTCACACATCAAATGCCGAACAGCAACAGAACCTCCCTCGTTAGAAAAAAAAAAAAAAAAGGAGAGGCTGTCACGTGGTAACGCGTGGCGCATCTGTAGTGGCAGAGAACGCCCACGTGTGGGCTGTGATTTTAAGAAAACTCCCACTGGAATAGGACACACATGGAGAACGGGCTCCCACTCTGCGCACAGTTCCATTTTCACCAAGTGACAGGCCCGCTGGCCGGCACGACCCAGACTGAGAAACACGGTGTCACCTGCCCCCCAAGAGCTCCCCTGCACCCCAACCAGGCGCGGCCCTCTGTCCCGACTTCTAACACGACACCACAGGCTAGCCGTGTTGCCGTAAATAAACGGAAGTTTCTGGCATCGCTACTGCGTGTCTGGCTGCTTCTGTTCAACGTTACGTTCGCATGACTCGTGCCCACGCGGGGTTGCGGCCAACAGTGTTCGTCTCCGCTGCTCCGTAACATCCCACTATGTGAACACATCGCAACGTTCTGCTCCTCTGTGCTGACGGCATCTGGACGGTTTTCAGTCTGAGGGTTTTTCCCTGCGATCCTCACTCTGACGTTTGGGCTTGGATTTTGTGCAAACGGCATCAACGGCAGCTGCCGGCCCTTCTGACAGGCTTGACCCTCGGGCGCTCCTTGGTTCCGGACCTGGAGGGCAGGCCTCGAAATTACCCGAAAACCGTGTGTGCACGTATGTGGGTTTTCGGGGGCTCGATCCAGGTGCGCGAAGTCCTCAAGGGGCTCTGTGACCTGACCAAGGGCAGGAACCACGGTCCTGGAACAGCTAGACCCAAGTAAGTTTCTGAAGCTCGGGTGACACACGGAACGTTCTTATTTGAGAAGACCTGTATTTCCCCCTGGAACAGCCACCGCGGTGACAGGCACGGGACACCAGGCGAGGGCCGTGCCCGGCTGCAGCCTCACTGCTGGGTGTCAAGGAAACGGGACAATGTGCTCTAAGAGGGCTCCGTGAAGACTCTGGGCCGGGCCCACGTCCGGCACGGAGGAAGCAGCCCGTCGGTTGCGGCCGTCACTCCAAGTCACTGTCTTTCCGACGCCAGAGCTGTCCCTCGAGGAAGGCTCCCTGACTTGGGAGAGCTGGGGCCTGGACACGGCGTGGCCCGGGCCTCCGTGAAATGAGGGAGGGGCTCCTGCAGCCCCCGGGTGCGGGCACACCCCGCGGTCCCACCAGCCCTCGCCGCAGGCCGGCGGCCTCACCTCCGGCCCGAGACAGGCAGCACGGCGGCCGCGGAGGGTCCACTCAACCGTGGTCCTGCACACGCTCTGGTGAGCAGGACCCGTGTCCCCTGACAAGGCTGCTGGCTTAATAAGTATCATTATCAGACAGCACCACTCACTTCCCCGACTGCCACTTTCCAAGCTGTCAGCTGGCGTTAAATGCAGGCCAAGACGAGGAAACAGCCGCACGTGCCCCCTCGGTCCCCTCGGTGGGGGGCTGGGAGAGGCCACGGCACTGCAGGTGGCATTTCCAGGCCCCCTGCCCCTCCTCGTGCGCACAGAGAAAGGAGACACGGGGCGGGCGGGCCACAGCACGCGAGGGGCGCTTCGGGGGCCGGCGGGGAGCCGAGGCGGGGTCACAGGCAGAGGAAAAAGGCGCACCTGCGGAGGGACTATCGCTTCCAGGCCAGTGGAGCCCAGGACGTACTTCCTCCCGATTCAATGACGCTGTGACGGCCTGACAGCTGGAACGGCCCTTGGACTCCTCTTCCTCCCGATTCGGAGGCAGGGCCCACGCCCAGTGCTGCTGGCAGATCCGTGTCAAGGGCGCAAGAAGGGCCGGGGGCCAGGGCAGGGAGGGAAACCGCATTTGGCAGGCCGAGGAAGACGCCCGGATGCGGGACTCCCACTGCACTCCTGTAAAACCCACCCCGGAGCCTCCAGCCCCTTCAGGGCCACGAGGACCCCCTCCCTCCCGTCTGCACACCACAGCCCGGAGGGACAGGGAAATTGACAGACCAGACCCATCTGCCCAAGTTCTAACATTGTAAACATTTATTTAAAAAATACTACGGAGAGATGTGGATTCAAAACACAGAGTCATATACAGAAACAAAATGTACTGGACCAAAAAAAAAAAAAAAAAAAAAGACACCATAGGCATTTGAGACGGGAAAATAGTGGAAAACTATTTACATGTCATTTATAAAAGACCAAGTCTATAAAAGGGTGTAATACCAAGATATAAATGCAAAATATAGTGGCACGTCATGTGAACAAAAAAAAAATCAGTACCTTATAGAAAGAGGCGGTCGAGGGGACCTGGGTGGGGTCGGTTTTGCTTTGTCTGCAAGGCCGCTGGTGGTGTTCTAGCACCTCCCTCAGTCTGTGTGACACAGAAGTCTGGGGGGTGGGGGGAGGGGGCAAAGAGGTGATGAGCTGTGAGGACAGCACAAATCGATGCAGAGGGAACCATCTCTACCAGAGGAATAAAGAGCAAGTTTGGGTGATGAGGCCGGTGTGAGGTCACGGGGGTATGGGGGTGGAAGGTGGTCGCGCCTGGGCCCGGCAGGAGGCCCAGGCAGGTGCCTGCCCCCCTCCTTCAGCAGCTGCTCTAGGTCAAGGTCAAGGCGGCCTGGGCCCCTGGCTGGAGAGCCTGGTCCTGGGCAGCCTGGGGAGAGGAGACCGAGGCCTGCTCTTGGAGACACTTCCTGGGCTTCATCCGTTTGTGGTTTTCTCCATCCCTGAAAACCCCAGCAGAAACAGTGGGCTGCGTGTTGTTGCTCGTGGCGATTCAACAGGACATTGGCCTCTTAGCACACAGCCAGCAACGGTTGGGGCTTTGGTGCCACAGTCCTCCTCCTCCTGCGCGCCAGCGGCCGGTCCTTCTGTGCCGGAGGCGACTGGGCTGAGCTCAGAGCCATGAAATGCTCCGGAAAACTAAAGGTTGGCTTGTCACACAGGAAAGAGCTCTGCATGAATCTACTTGGTCTCAGAGGAGTACAAGGGAGGAGAAGGAGACCGGTCAGAAATCAAGACCAAGTGCCTTCTCTGGGCACCTGGAAGCCTGAAAAGAAGGTAGGCTGGGCCCAGCCCCAGGCCATCTGGGTACCAGCTGTTGCCCCAGCCAGCCACCCTGCCTGCCTCCCCTGACCCTGCACGCCGGACCGCGACCCTCCTACCCTTCAGACTCCAGCTTTCCATCCAGGCCGAGCAGTGCCACAAGACAGCAAGGACCCAAGGGCCGGCTGGTTTTAGCACCCCGTTTCACCCCCCAAATCAAGAGCTGTCCTTCACGCGAGGCAATGTGAGGGCACCAGCCCCCGGCGGCAACGGAGGGCAGAGTGACCAGCTGGCAAGCGCTTCCCAGGATGTAGTTCTGGAGACGGGTCTTCTGCGCCGGCTCCCCCCCATGGGGTAGGTGGGGAGGACAGTTCCTCGGGCCTCAGTGACAAGGCTCCCGTGCAGGGCGCTCGTTTCCTGCGGGAAGCGGAGGAGAAGGCATCCCCAGAGGTGGGCCTCCAGAAAGACCAGCAGAAAGGAAATATGCTCATCTGCTTTCACCCCTGGCCGGAAGAGCTCAGTTCTGGAGCACTACGTGGGGAGGAGGCCGGCGGGCCGACCGGAGTCCACAGAGCAGGAACTCCACAGATAGAACTCGGGACAGAGGCGACTCAGGGAGCTCGGGCTGGGGGAGGGGGAAGTGCGGGACAGTTGGCACAAAACACAGGTAGTCAGGCTGTGTTCCACAGTGGCCCTTGGCTCCGTGTGGCGCAGCGCTCCCGGGCCAAGGTCCCAACTCACTGGTCTGGTGTCGGCCACTGTCGCAGGCACGGGGAAGCCTTCACGCACTGCAGGCGGCTCATGCCCGGCTTCTGCTACCTCTGTACGATGTCACTGATCTCCTTCACGGAGCTGAGGAGTTTGCTGAAGTCCTGAGTGGCCGCCGGGCCACTCCCTGCTGTCGCCGGGCAGATCTGAAGCTCCCGGAGATTATTCTCCAGTTTGTTGATGGCCTCGCGGAAGGCGAATTTGTTCCTCATCTGCTGGATGGAATCCACATAGCTCACGCAGAACGTGTACAGGTTTTTGCCGGCTTCCAGCACGGCGCTATGGCTGGCCATCTGCTCGGAGTTCTTGGAGATGGCCAGGCACAGGGCCTCGGTGCCGTCCAGGACCACGCTCTTGGTGATGGTGCCGCTGGCGATCCGCTCCGGAGGCTGGCGGGTTTTCCGAAGAGAGACGCGGGTCGATATGAGAGGGATGAAGGCAGTAGACGCGGGCTGGTCCCCGGCCAGGGCGGAGGCTGCTGATGGCAATGTGGAGGGGGCGGGCGCCGCCCCGGCTGGGGCCCCCGCTGGCTTGCTGGACGACTGCGGCTTTGGCACGGATGGGAGCGTGGGCTTTTTGACGCCCTCTCCCAGCGGACTGGGCTTGATGGCGTCACTGTTCACAGCATCCACGACCACAGCCGCCGCTTTCATTTTCCCGCCAGTGCTGGCCTCCCCGGCCGCTTCCTGGGTCGGGTTCTGAGCGGGCTTCCCGGCTTTCCCCACGGAGGCCGGCGGCGGCGGGGGCGGTGGGGCAGGTTTGAGCTTGGACAGTTTCCCCTTGTCTCTCCCTGGGGACTCGGAGGAAGGCTTGTGCCTCCTCGCTCTGGGCTCCTCGGCGGGGGCCTTGCCGGTCCCTCCGGACACACCCGGCCCTGCTCTGCTGGCGGGGGGCACCGGCTCAGCTGCGACAGGTGTCCCCAAGGCACCGGACTTGGCGGTCTCGTCCTTGTGGGGAAGGCCAGAGGAAGGAGCCCCCGTGACCTGCCTGCGGAGGAGTTTTGGAGTCAGACTTGGGGGGCTGGAGCCCGGGCTGGACTCCCCCGCGTCTCGAAAGACCTCATCGGCTGCCTCCTCGGTCTTTTTCACCAGCCTGGGTGGGGGAGTCACCGTGCCTCTGGTCGCCTGGTCGGACCTGTTCTCACTCGCCCGCTTCCGAGGCAGAGCCGGCTTCTCGCTTTTGTGCCCTCCAAACGTGGACGAGTCGAACTGCCTGCCCGTGGACTGCAGGTCCCGAGGCAGTGTGACGGACCTCCACTCGGTGTCCCTGGCTCCGTGGGGCACGCAGGAGGCCGAGCAGGACCGCAGGAAGCGCTTGCTGGAGCTGCTGCCACTCTCCTCCTCGCCGGCGGCTAGGCGGCTGCTGGTCAGCGTACTGGACTTTTTCCACAGGTGGGGAGACCGGAAGCCTGCACCCCCGGACTCCCGGAAGGCTCCGTTGGGGACGCCAGCCCCGCTGCTGGGCTTTGGGGACTTGGCTGGCTCGGCTGCGTCCAAGGGTGTGAGAGCCGGCGCCCCGTTGCTGGTTTCTCGGCCCTCTTCCTCGCCGGCCCCCTTGCGCTCGGGCTGGCCGTCCATCTCCCGGAAGGAGCTGCTGCGTTTCGGGGGCGTTGGGGCCGTTTTCTTCTTCTTCTTGATCAAGGCACTGAACAAGTTGGTCTTTTTGTCTTTGGGAAGAAGGCGCTCGTCCTCATTCAGGCCGCCATCCTGGGGACCTCGTTCTTTTCGAGGGAGCAGTGGAGACACAGGGGGCTCGTGGTCGAGAGGATCTGAAATACAGTGGCAAGAGTTTAACAGCTTCAGACGAGAGGCTCCTTTGTGAGGGGGAACCTGGGGCTGGCCACCGGCTCCTCAGAGGACCAGCCACGGGTCCGGGCCCGGACAGGCCTGCGCGTGAGCACCAGCTCCGCCGCCCTCCCCCCTGCCCCCCGCCCCCCAGCCGCGAGGCCTAGGCAAGGGACGCCTCTCCACACATCCTCAGCGTTCTCCTCTACGAAACGGAGAAACGAAACCCACCCGTAGACGGGGCGCCTGGGTGGCTCAGTCGGTTAAGCGTCCGACGCTTGACCTGGGCTCAGGTCACGGTCTCGTGGTTTGAGGGATCGAGCCCCGTGTCGGGCTCTGTGCGCACGGCACGAAGCCTGCTCGGGATTCATATTCTCTCTCTCTCTCTCTCTCTCTCTCTCTCTCCCTCCCTCTCTGCCTGTTCCCCCTGCTCACGCTCTCTCAAAATAAATAAGTGAACACTAAAAGCAAGAAGAAAGACCCACCCGCAGCGTGGCTGTGTGAATACAAAGCAATAGGAGGAGGATCTGTCCCAGCTTCTGGCACGTAGTGGCTCACTGTTGCCCCTGTCGCTACCGGTGTCATCAGGAAGAGCACGGGTCTCTCTCCTTGAGGACGGCAGCACAGAAAGCACGACACTCGTCCTCACCCCTGCACCGGGGCTTCCTTTACAGCACAGAGCCCCCTCCGTGCCACTGTCTGGTGCGTGAAACCCACGACAAGGCCGAGCAAAGGGTCAGGCCCCGCGCCCCACGGACCTGCCGATCACGGTTCCTCGGAGGTGGGGCCTGAAGGGACGGGGACGCTCACCACAGCAACAATGGGCTATTATGCTTGGCAAACAAGGACTGACCTTTACAGATGTTTAAATGGGCATTCTTTACACACGAATAATAGCTCCTAAGAAATCTTTCTGGTGTTGCCAAGCTCGGGGCCAGTGAATGACAGAAGTCGCCCTCAGGGGGCGGCTGTGAGGAGAGCGGTTTTCTGTCAGCACCCGAGCAGCACAGGGGGGCGTCCTTAACGGCAGCAGAGGTACAAGGGGGCGCCCCTCAGGACACCGGGGGGCACACAGGACACCCGGCTCGGGGAAAGCTGAGGACCTCCCCAAACCTCAATCCAGCAGGAGGCGGCAGAGAAAGTGAGATTCTAACGACCCGTGCGCAGCCCCATCGCAGGACCCAAAAGCCGACACTCTCGGCTCACCAGGAGACGACACGCGAATCCCGACGGCCGTAAATAAACAGGGCTGTGTATCACCGGGCTACTAGTAAGCCTGAAGTTTCCACGGTGGCCTCTCCCCACTCCCACCACTGAATTGCCGGAATCATGACACCTGACAGAAGGACAAAGGTCCAAGGTTCTGGATGGTCTCTACGCCACGGCCTCCAGGGTGGGTGAGCAGGGCGACCCAGGGGGTATGGAGGGAAAACATCGTAATTTGGATTTCTTGTCTTATATAAACCTTCTAAGTGTACGTTTTTGGTATATTTTAAGTTACACATATTTGCACAGTCGTACACATCTACACCCAGGCTTCCCATCTTTTTTTGTTTGTTTTTTTAACTGACATGGGTACACAATATAAAAAAAAAAGGGTGGGGGGAATCCTGGGACTACAGATCCTGCTATGGCTAAACGTTCCATAATTCGGGCTTTGCCGTGCCCCTTCCCACTCGCTCGGTCTGTGGTCCATCAGAGCATCCCCTAGGAGCCTCTATGAGCCCAGATTTCTGGGGCTTGTGGGGGGACAGGGTGGCAAGCGCTCCACAAGCATGTCCTAACTCAAAGGAGAGCACAGCGCACGGGGCCACCAGGTCCCCATCTGCGAGCAGCATTCCTGCGAGCATCCTGAGACCCCCGCACCACCCCCACCTCGCTGGCTCGTCTAGGGAACGGTGGCCGACAGGTTTTTGTGTCAGAGACCAGGCGCGGACGCCGACTCTGTGCCACGGGCGTCTCTTGGCTCCGTCCGTCCTGGGGAGCTTTTCGCACCAGTGTTTTTGCCACAAGCTGCTCTCTACCTGGTTCGATGTTTATTATTGCTGTACCTGCCCTGCCAGAGGAACCACAAATGCCACGAATAATCCACGAGAAGGCGGGTTTGTCTTCCCCATCGGTTTCATCAGCACCTGTGCCTACCTGACTGAGCTAACTACCGAAGCCAATGGTTCCTGATGATTCCCAGGAGGAGGGTGGGCCGCTGTGGGGAAACTTCTTTTCGAGCTGGACCACTGACAAGGAATTAAGAGTCAGCCCGCCCGCCATGCAGGCGCACTCACTGCTTCCCATCCGCCTACACTGGCCCTGACGGCGCGGACCCCTCCGGGCCGGGTGGGGGTGGGGGGACGTACCGGTCTCTCCTGGGCCCTTGGAGTGGGGCATCTCGGGCACCTCAGTGGGGTCTTTGTGCTCCGCGGCTCTCCTGGACGTTCTCGTCTTGGTGGGCAGCTCTGGGGCCTGCAGCAAAGTACTCGCAACCCCTCGGACACCTTTTTTCCCCAGTTCCTTTTCCACTTCTAAGAACCACCGAGAACAAAAACAAAAATCAGCGGCCGTTAGTAATGGCGTCGGTCTGGCATTCTTTGTTTCTCAGGCACGAGTGGTCACCCACGCGCAGTTACAGAAAAAGAGACGCAGATGCGGAGAAAACCGCACTCGGCACTTTCCAGAAAGGTGCGTGGCCACAAGACAGAGATCTCCACGCCTCTGCCCGGCCCTCTGGTCTCAGATAACTTGCTGGGCTGGGGCTCTTCTAGCCGGAAGTGAAGAGCTCCACCGGGCTGGAGCCCCGCCCGGCCGTCCCTTCCATCCCAACCTCTCGCCCCACTGCAGGCACCCCCAGGAAAGGGCACTTTACCATCTGATATGCTGGACTCTTGGAACATGGTCTCAAAGGCTTGGTGGATTTCAGCAAAGGAGGGCCGGTCGGAGGGATTCCACTGCCAACCTGGACGGACGAGACCCAGGCAGACCACGCATGAGGCCCTGCTAACAAGTGTGGGGCTAGTAACTCTCAAGGAAGATCTGGTGATGAAAGAAGCACCCCAAATCTTGCTAGCCATCTTGTGCTGGGACAAGTGACAAATGTCACCGTGTCCTGCCACAGACATTAAGAATGTGCAAAGACCTTAGATACTGGCAGGAATATGGACTGTAGAGCCCCAGAGAGTTGTGACAGCAGGAAGTGCATTTATAAATCTTTTCCCCGGCCCCACTCAATCAAGTGCAGAGAATCACGGAGTCACGTGGCTTCCATTTGACCCTCACTTCTGGGTTATCAAAGTCTAAAGTCCTCACCAGTACAGAAAGGCTAATTAAAACAAGGTTAACATGAGGATTATGGACTGACGGAAGCTCGTGTTGGTAAGGATGCAGAATTAACTCTCCTACACTTCTGGTGGGAATATAAATTGGTACACCTTTCCTGGAAAACAATTCGGTAAAATCTTTCAGAATTTAAAACGCAAACAGCTCTTTGGACCAACAGGTCAACTTCCACAACTACCGGCACAATGTACGGACGTCTACGTAGGAGGGTGTTCATCCTGGCTTTGCTCACGATGGCAAAAGCCAAACACAGGTGTAAAACAAGCAAAGGTCCATCAAAAGGGGAAGAGATGGATGAATACATCATTTAACGGCAAGCTAAACAGCTATATAAAAATAAGGGGATGGAGGGGCGCCTGGGTGGCACAGTCGGTTAAGCGTCCGACTTCAGCCAGGTCACGATCTCGCGGTCCGTGAGTTCGAGCCCCGCATCAGGCTCTGGGCTGATGGCTCAGAGCCTGGAGCCTGTTTCCGATTCTGTGTCTCCCTCTCTCTCTGCTCCTCCCCCATTCATGCTCTGTCTCTCTCTGTCCCAAAAATAAATAAACGTTGAAAAAAAAAAAAATTAAAAAAAAAAAAAAAATAAGGGGATGGAGAGAGGACGGGATCTTTGAAATATGGACATGAAACTGTCGTGAGCCTTACGGCTGTGTGCAAAAAAAGTTGAGGAAGTTGTTTTACACACACACACACACGAAATAAAACCAACCCAGGTAAATGTCACCGGGAGTATTTACCTATTACAGCAGAATGTTTGGAGGCAGGGCCCAGGAATTTGCATTTTTAAATAAGAAATCTAGGGGCGCCTGGGTGGTGCAGTCGGTTAAGCGTCCGACTTCAGCCAGGTCACGATCTCGCGGTCCGGGAGTTCGAGCCCTGCGTCAGGCTCTGGGCTGATGGCTCGGAGCCTGGAGCCTGTTTCCGATTCTGTGTCTCCCTCTCTCTCTGCCCCTCCCCTGTTCATGCTCTGTCTCTCTCTGTCCCAAAAATAAATAAACGTTGAAAAAAAAAAAAATTAAAAAAAAAAAAAAAGAAATCTAAGTTTGGTATCCATCCATCCCATTTTTGCACAAAAAACAGAAAGAGCCTCACACATAAATACTATGTATAAATAACATGTACAGAGACACGGAATCTGAGTAAGTATGCATCTGTTATATTAGTTGCTTCTGAAGAATGTGAATAAAGACAGGAAGGGAAATACTTTTTGACTTTAGGAAAACACTCCTGCACGGGAATTTCTTACAAAGCCCACACAGAAGTTTTACCACCGGCTGGGGTAGACTCACATGCTCGCATGAGTTCGTAGACCTTCTCTGGGCAGCCTTCCGGGCGTTCCATGCGATAGTCTTTCTCTAGCAGCTCGTATACCTGGGACAGGTCAATTCCTGGGTAAGGTGACATACCGTAGGTAGCAATTTCCCAAAGCAGTACTCCAAACGCTGCAAGGAAAAAGAGAGGAAGGTTGTTCAAGATGTGGCAAATTTAACTATCTTGCATTTGAAATTGGTTACCCGTGTAGTGGACATTATAAGCACCTACGCCCTCAGGGGGCGCCTGGGTGGCTCAGTCGGTTAAGGATCCGACTTCGGCTCAGGCCATGATCTCACGGTTCGTGGGTTCGAGCCCTGTGTCGGGGTCTGTGATGACAGCTCAGAGCCCGGAGCCAGCTTCGGATTCTGTGTCTCCCCTCTTCTCTCTGCCCCTCCCCAACTTGGGCTCTGTCTCTCTCAAAAATAAACATCAAAAAAAAAAAAAAAAAAAAAAAAAAGCAGCAGCCACCACACCTTCAGAAGCACGCCAGACACCAACATTTTACCAGGCCTTTAACGACCAACAGCCCAGGACAGAACCAGACTAAAACGCACCGCAGGGGAGAAGAGACTGTACTGATCGGCCTCTCCGGGGTCTTTGAGGTAAGGTGACCATCTTTACTGGGATTTGTGATGCAGGGAACCTAGGGCTGGAGATCAGGACGCCATTTCTACTCCGAGTTTTGAGACCACCTGGCTAAGTGTCTCAGACGGGCCACGTCTCCTTTCGGGGCATATGAGAGTATCTCCAGGGCCCCTTCCAACTCTAAACATTTCATAAAAATCTTACAAAATCTTTGAAAGCCCAGATTGTAGCCTTGAAATCCCAGATCCCACTGAAGAGATCCAAGGACCCCTTGGAGAATGGATGATTCAGGGTCAGGGCCGGAATGAACCTGCAATATCTTAATCGCTCTAGACGGCACAGACGCCATCAAAGGCTACAAGGGGTCTTGTCAAAAGGGAGCAGTCTGGCCAAACAGGAGACACTCTGCTTATCAATAAGGAGAAGAACTACCGTGGATTAAAACACATCAGATACATCTAAACACGTCATACACATATATACGTATATATCATCACAAAAGGAAAAAACCCAAAAAAACCCAAAAATGTACTTGGTCACCATTCAAGGGTATTAAAAAACTAGCTCGTTTGCGTGACCCCTGGTAAGCCCGGGCAAGGAGACAAACAACTATGTGTGTGAACCGTATCCCGAAGTAACCCCACAGCAGATGAGGGTTTCGTCTGACAGCCGTACTGAGCTAAGCCGGGAACGAGGAGTGACAGCATTCGAGAATTACCGTCTGGCAACCCCTAATAAATCAGTGGATCTCAGCACTGGGGATTAGAAACCGCTAAAGTCACAAAAAAGAGAGCAAATCGAGCACTGTGCAGCTACTGACGACAAAGCACGGCACAGCGCACCCAGTGCTCCTGCTAAAAGAAAAAAGTCAAACCCGAATGTGACCAAACTGTCCAGATCCCACTGCCCATTTAGTAGGGGTACCAAAGACAGAGGAACGCATTAAATCACAGCACGGGGTACAGCGTGGGAGACTTGCAAGGACACGTGAGGTTTCTTCCACAAGTAGCGAGCGAGCGAAAGGAAAATACGGAGAGGGAGCCTGCAGACCAGAGGGCACTGAGGGGGCATCAACCGTCCACCTTGTGTGGACAGTATCCGGATCTCAACTCAAACAGACCACAACAGCGGGACTACGAACACTCAACTGGAAATGTGAACACTGACTGGATCGTAATATTCAAAATGACGATCAATTCGGGGAGGAAGAGCGATGTGGTTACAAGGATAAAAAAGAGACACCTTTAAGAGACTCATACTGAAGTATTTATGGACAAAATCAAATGCTATCGGGGGTCTGCTTCAAGATAGTAAGGGTCGGGGCAGGGGGCGGGGTACAGGGTTCGGGAGCGCCATGAGGCGATGGCCGGTAAAGCTGGGTGACACGTACCTTGGGCTCACCGTGCAATGAGCATGTGCTTCTTCATATGCTGACTACCTGCTGTAACAAGTTCTTTAACAAAAGACACAAATAGAATACTGGCACGTGAAGCTTCAGGGGGCAATATCCTATGTAAAGCCCAAACCAAACTACAGAAAATCGTGGGTGCCTGCAGGCTTGGCTAAGTGCCCCAAAAACCCAAGCAGTAAGCTCGGGCTGGAGATGGGAAGTTAGGGGGCGGGGGGGAAGGTAACCTGAATTATTCTGGAAGAAAACTCCGCTTTTACTTCATTTTGGAGAAAACAGGGGAGCAAAGATTGTAAGGTGAGAAAGGGAAAAAACGATAAGAAAGAGAATTAAGGAATGAAGGAAAACAAATGAAGGAGTGAGAGGGAGGCAGCGAAAGGCAAGGAGACCAAGAAAACCGGGACAAGGAGCCCGCACTTGCGGGTGAGGGCCGACCGGGAGCCGCAGCGGCAGCCCTTACCCCAGACGTCGGACTTGATGGAGAACTTGTTGTAGGCCAGGCTTTCTGGCGCTGTCCACTTGATGGGGAACTTGGCCCCGGCGTGGGCTGTGTACGTATCCCCTGTCATTAACCTGCTCAGGCCGAAATCAGCCACCTTCACCAAGTGGTTCTCCCCTACCAGGCAGTTTCGGGCAGCAAGATCTCTGGGGAAAGAGAGAGAGTTCAGCCGTGAGAGTTGTGGCTATTGCGTTCCTGGCTCCGCAAATCCACCGCCACTGAGGGAAGGCGCCCTCCCGACGACCGCGTCCAGTCCCCCGGGAACCTGTGCCCGTGCCTCAGCATCCGCCCGGGCTCCCGCCGCGGGGAGAGGTAGCAGAGGGTGGGCGGGAGCAAGCTCATTACCCTGGGCCTCAGTTACCGCACCCGTAACACTTCGTAGGCTTGTCGTGAGTGGTCGTGACTTAATACGTGAAGCGCTTTAACTCACACCTGCCTATCTGCAATCACCTAAGGGTCTGCTGGGTTAGGACGGCTCTACGGCAGGCACAGGGAACGAAGGCACCAGCCAGTCCTCAACTGGGAGAAACTTCCATCGGAGGGAGTCTCCATGTGGCCTATCCAGACTTGACAGAGGACAAAATAAAATAAAGCCCATGGCACTCCGCCCCCTCCTCCTCCCCAAACTGTGTTTCCCAGTTTCCTGTTTCCTCCTGATGCGTATCCGAACGTATCCTAAAAATTCTCTCCCGTATAATCGGCTTCCTGTCGCCTCCAGATTCTCCCAGGGAGGGGGGAGTCTAATCTCTGGTTCACGGATGTTAACCATGAAATCACAAGGCAAAACGGAACAGGGGGATGCGACGAGGCAGCACCTCTAGGCGATGGCTGAAGGTAAGATCGCCTGATCGGCAGCAATCAGAGAGCAATTAAATACAGAAGACTTGTGCCTAATAGGATTTTGGTAAAGCGTTTTAAGTCTGTGAAATGAAGGGGGGACAGACGTAGCCATGCCAAGCGAACCACAAGTCAAGAAATCTCAATTTGCAGCCTCAGAGGGTTCACCGTTTGAGTGACAGGCGCATCGGAATCAGGCTCTCATGCAGCACAGGAAATCTGTCTTACAAGGAAGCGCCAATGTCTCACACATTCTACTCTCGTCCCTCGCTGTGAAATCTCATGTACGGGTCTCATACTTGAATTAATTGGGGAGGAAAGTTCAGGGCGGTGGCGTGGAGAATATCTTGTATAAAAGTCACCGGCAAAGCCCATCGGGTTCTGTCCTGCTCGGACAGAACCTTCCTTTGCCAGGAAGCCATTTCCACCAGCAAAGAATGCGAACAGTAAGATAATTGCGGCCCGCTTGAAGGTCAAAGCCCTCCAGGCTTTAGAACAGCAAAGGCGCTTAATTCAGGACCGCACTGACGCCGTCCTGACAATCGTGGACGCGTCCCCGGACCGGAGGACGGCAAGCTAAGTGGAGAATGAAATAAAGGGAAGGGGGGGCGGGCGCAGAAAACACGCCGCTCGGAAACAAAAGCCACGCGCCGGCTGTACCCGCGGGGCAGTGTGGGCGCAGCGCCAGCCCCCCTGCGGGGGAGGTCACTCCTGGTGACACTGAGCGCTCTGCCTCCCCAGGGAGCACGGACGCCTCTGAGGGGCTTCGCTGGATATTCCACTTAGTCCAAGATGCTTCCGAGGGAAGTGTTTCTTACCGCGGGGATCCACTGCCCCGTGGGCCCAGACGCGCGCCTGGAGCTGGCAAAGTCAGGAACCCAGCGTCTGCCTCTGTTCCAGCGTCCAACGTGCCGCCAGCGCTGAGGCGGGAGGCTGAGCCCTCACGCCCTGTGGGCTGGAGCTTCGTGGAGGAGGCTGCCCGGGCCCCACGCTCGCTCCGCGGCGCTGCGAGGAGGGCTGCTCCGCCAGGCCCCTACCTGTGGATGAAGTTCTTCTTCTCCAGGTACTCCATGGCTGACGAGATCTGCGTGGCCATGTACAGCAGCACCACAGCATTCACCTCCTGCCGGTTACACTCCCGCAGGTAATCCAGCAGGTTCCCATAGGTCATGAACTCAGTGATTATATAGAACGGGGGCTCCCGGGTGCAGACCCCTGCCAACAAGACAGACATTGAGGGCTTCGGGGGGCCGCTCTGCTCCCGACTACACAAGCACCAGAAAAGGACCCCTGGGGGCGCCTGGGGGGTTCAGTCAGTTAAGCGTCCGATTTCAGCTCAGGTCACGATCTCGTCATTCACGAGTTCGAGCCCCGCGTCGGGCTCTGTGCTGACGGCTCGGGAGCCCGGAGCCTCTGCTTCGGATGCTGTGTGTCTCCTTCTCGCTCTGCCCCTCCCCCGCTCACACTCCGTGCCCCTCTCTCAAAAATAAACATAAAAAAAAAAAAAAAAAATTAAAAAACGGAAAAGAAAATGAAAGAAAAGAGCCCCCGAAACACGTTCTGTGTCTGCCGCAAAGTCTGGGGCCCAACGTCTAATACGGTCCCAAGCGCTCGTGGCTTGTGATGTGTTCCTGTGGGAGGGAGGTGGCCAGGCTTTTTCTTCCTCTCGAGCCTCTGAACTCGAACAGAAGAAGACTCCACCGAGTTCAGAAGCAAAGGTCAGGTGCACACCCCACAGCCCACGTCACCCCCACGTGGCAACGTCTGCCCACGGGAGAACTGCAGCGAAGGGACTCTCGACACCTCTGGTCTCAGAAGCCGGCTGAGATTTGCACCGGACTACTCTGGGGTCTCCACTTAAAGCAACAGCCTATTCCGTCCACGCACACACCATCCCGCATCGGCCTCCTTGCCACCACGGGCTGAGTGTCGCCAGAGGACAGACGTCCACGTCAGACACGTTCACCTCCTCTGTCATAGCGCCCGCATCACCCCAGGGGGCGTAAGAGAGAGGCCGTCTCTTCAGAGCTCACTCACCCAGCAACTGCACGAGGTTGGGGTGCTTGATCTCCTTCATCACTGCGGCTTCTTTCAAGAACTCTTCCACCTCCATGGTGTCCTCCTGAGGGAGAAAAGGGGAGGAAGTTGTCTCAGCAAAGAAAGTGTTCGAGCAGGAAAGTACGGCTTGAATGGTTAGTACCAATTGGAGCCTCGACCGACAATCACCCCGGTTCGCCAGGGCCGACCTGCACGATGCCTGCAGTGGATCGATTACTGCCCCCCGTGGCGTAAAGAATTTTCCCCTTTGATGGGGCGCCGGGGTGGCTCCGTCGGTTGAGCGTCCGACTTCGGCTCGGGTCACGATCTCACGGTTCGTGGGTTCGAGCCCCGCGTCAGGCTTTGTGCTGACGGCTCGGGGCCTGGAGCCTGCTTCGGATTCTGGGTCTCCCTCTCTCTCTGCCCCTCCCCTGCTCACACTCTGTCTCTCAAAAATAAATAAACATTGGAAAAAAAAAAAAAAAGAAGAATTTTCCCCAACAGTAAATATATGTTGGCAACTTGCTTCTGGGGGCCGCTATGCAGAGGATAGTTCTATTTCCCTAAAGAAGAGCTGGTTTCCAAGGAGTCCTAAAACACTTAACATTACAAAAATATATATATATCACCTGAAGAACCAGAAATGTACCCACTTTAATGGAAGAGACCCTGACACAAAACGATACCATCCTAAAGAAGAACACCACCTCAAAACACTCTGTACCGCAGAGGATGCCCGAAATGCAGAGCTATGGGGGTCTCAACGAAGCAACCACCACTATCCACCGGGTCGATTTACGGGTTCTACAATAATCCTCCCCAGCAGCCCCCCTAACGACGGATTCACGAGTATCGTCAGAGATGTCATATTCTAGCAAGTTCACCGTATCTAAATGCCACGCGGAAACAAAGAATATTAGCAAACGCCCAGAGCAAACGTGATGCTATCTCCCCATCTCCTCATGTGCTCTGGGTGGGGGCTCAACTCGAGGGGGCCTTGCCCCTGGCCCCGCACACCACAGTTGGCCCCGTTACATGGGAGGCTTGCTGTGGCCTGCATCAGGCAAACCTCTTCGTGACTTAAAGAACCCACTGTCCTCTGGCTGCCGCGACCGGAAGCCAGCGGGCGGCAAATGGCGTGGCCCGTGTGTGTGCGAGAGCCTGGCCACGAAGGCCAACGAGACAGGCAGGACGCCACCCTCCAAGTTTCAACACGGAGTCCACGTCTGCCCGGAGAGAAAGACTGCGTGGCAGATGGGGAGTGAACGCCTGGAAAACTAGACTCGCCCAAGAGGAAAGCTTCATCGGGCTTATTTTCTTTTTATTTAAAAAAATTTCTTTTTCAACGTTTATTTATTTTTGGGACAGAGAGAGACAGAGCATGAACGGGGGAGGGGCAGAGAGAGAGGGAGACATAGAATCGGAAACAGGCTCCAGGCTCTGAGCCATCAGCCCAGAGCCCGACGTGGGGCTCGAACTCCCGGACCGCGAGATCGTGACCTGGCTGAAGTCGGACGCCTAACCGACTGCGCCACCCAGGCGCCCCCATCGGGCTTATTTTCAAGGTGGAACCTTCCAGGTTGTGCCTGCCCCTTCAGGAGGCAAAGCACTCAAAGGGTCCTGACTGCAGCCTCCCGGTGGCCGTGCCATTCTTGCCCCTGCACGTGGAGATTTCCAGAGGACAGGTCAACCTCTACTCAGCACGTTCCCGCTGCGGCCAATCATGTCTACAAGCGGAGCGTGACCGCTGAGGATACATGTCAGCCCATTATCACTTAGTCTAGGGCTCTCTGAGGCTGAAACTCAGATGCAGTTTGCTGCTCTTTAAAAATCGTGGGCTGCTCTGATGTCAATGAGACATCGTTGGTAGTCTCCGTGTCAAGCCGTACGGGGGGCAAGAACTCATCCCTGCCACCGCTCCGCTGGCTGTTCGATTCTTGGGAGTCCTCTCTGCTCCTCAACACGCTCCGCAGACCATGCCGTTGGCGCGTCTGATCCACCGGGTGACACGCTGCCGTCAAAGGCTGGGAAGCCTGCTGGAATCCGCCGAGACGATGCTGCTCACGTAGGGACCGGGGGCCTCCAGAGCCTCGCTTGGCCAACAGGAGGTTCACGACGCGGCTCTCAAATACAGCTTTCTGGGCAAGTGGAGCTTTCCTTCTTTTCAAGCACCACAATAACCAACTCCGCACAGTGAAACCATTTCACAGAGATCGTGGGCTCTGACAGCTCCTGCCGCTTTTCTAGAAGAACCGCGTTCTAGATCTTGAGAGGCGTGGACATGCGAGAACAACGATACGGCTTTCGGAGCCATCCCTCTCCTCTTTTTGCCTGTCTTTTTGTCTTCCCCCTCATTCCTACACACTCACACACACGTGTGGATGGTATAAATAATTCCTTGTTTTTTTCTTTCAGGGCAATCGGCGTGAATTTGTCTCCCCCTGGTGGAATCTGGCCGGGTTCAACCTACAGCTGCCACTACCAGCAGCACTCTCTTCTAGTAGCTGTGTTAAACGAGAAACTATCCTGTTATGCTCCTTTCCTTTCCTTTAAACACTTTTTTTTTTTTTAACATTTATTCATTTTTGAGAGACAGAGAGAGACAGAGCGCAAGCAGGGGAGGGGCAGAGAGACAGAGGCGGACACAGAATCCGAAGCAGGCTCCAGGCTCTGAGCTGTCAGCACAGAGCCCGACGCGGGGCTCGAACTCACAAACCGCGAGATCATGACCTGAGCCGAAGCCGGATGCTCAACCGACTGAGCCACCCACGTGCCCCTCCGTCATCTTTTCAAAGAGACATCTCCCATGTACGGAGTAAAATTAACACAGATAATTAGGGTGAAAGCACCACTGAGTGAACGCGGAGTTTCGGCCTTGTCCGTTGGAAGTCAGGTGGGTCGGCCGGCTCTCCTCATGGGGACTGACTGGCCTGGCCCAGATGCACACAAAGGCCTGGCCGGTACAGGGGTGGTTAAAAGGATGGCTTCACAGCTACGTGGACCAAGCCCTGCCGCTGTGTGACCACGTACAGAGCTCAGTTATTCACACGCCAGAGAAGAGAGGTCTCTGAACAAGGTCCCGTCTACACACCGGGAAAACAGCAGCATCTGCCTCGTGCGCAGAGTCCCGAGCACCGCGCCCGGACGCGGGCAGCACTCGGCTGGCTGGACCCACGTTTACTGTCACGAACACGGCTGAGAAGCCGGCTAAACACAGCGCTTGTAGGAAAGACGGGCTGGGTCTTTAGTTAAGATCGCTCCGTGTTTTCGTTTTTGTCTTTCTCAGATAGGCACTCTCCGGACCCAACATCTTCTGTTTTTCTGGTTCTCTAACCAGCTTCATTCACCCTTTTTGCTGCCTGGCCTCGCCCCCAAGTGAAGGTATTCTCCGGCATAACGGAGACATCGGCGGCTCAGTGTCCCACGGGTGCCTCCCTGAGACTCAGCAGGGACCAAGTCCCCGGGGGGAGGGGCTAAGAGGTCCGTTTCCCCCTCGCTCCCTGGTTCTCAACCAAGTGTCAGGGGAGCAAGGTTACGACCCCAGGGAAGCAGCATCCCGCACCCGCGAGAGACGGGGCTGCAGAGATGGGGCCGGGCTTCAGAGCCGGACCGAGGAAGGCGGTTCACCCACCAGATCCGCGGAAACAACCGCCCACCGAGCCCCCAGAACTCGGGTCCGCAGGCGTATCCAGGCCACGGCCAGAACAGAACCCGCTGCGAGAGCGTGCAACGGTGGGTTCCAGGTCGCGCGGCCTCTCTCCCTGACGCCCAGCCCCCTCCGAAGTCAGAGAGCCAGCGCGTGCGGCTGTCCAGGGCCATCCTGGAGCCCTGGCTTCTCTGCTCATTTCTGCAGCTCTCTAGTAGAACCAACTGCCTGGGGAAAAACACCACAAACAAAACCCCAACCAAAACAGGCTGGCGGAGCAGGGCAACGGAGGCACCCTCTCAGCACGGCTGGCCGCGTGCAAACTGGCACCGGGACAGTCTCCTCACGGCCAACGGGGAGAACCCCTGGGGCACGGTCTGTAACAGCAAAGTACTGGAAAGGACACAAATGCCCGCTGAAGGCTGCTAGACGCTGGAAGACATCCACGCGAAAGCAAGACCCCCGTACGTATATGGATGTGGAGCGGGTGCTGAGCTACGTGGGGTGGACACTAGGAGGTGCAGGGCAGTGTCCACAGCATGCTGCCCTACGGTTAGAAGGGACACCCACACGTGGACTACTTCCGGAAGGGCACAAAAATCCAGGGGGGAGGATACTGCGTGCATACGCTACCTATTCGAAAAACAGGCAAAGAATTTAAGCCTTAACATTTTTCATCAACGTTATCTTCCACTTTTTTAACGGTAAGTCTGTCAGGAGCTTAGGAGCCAATCCTAATGCCACATTAGATCGAGAGCAGCCTTTCCCCGATTCTAGGACTTCCAGAACGGCTTCATAGGAAAAAAAGGAGGGCTCATAAACAAACTTCTGGAATACAGCTCATTTGAAACGTGGGACTTCCCTGTACTGGACGGTTGTTTCTCTCAGGCACATCCCACCTTTAGCATTGATCACAGGCAGGTAAAGTTAAGCCTAGGACCTGGTGAATGATGTCAAAATTCAAACTAGCAGGTCCGGTCGGTGGCCTTTGCTGTAATTCCAGTTTCCCGCCCACAGGGGTCAGCCTAGCACCCTCCTGTCTCCCGTTTTTTGGTCTCCGGCCCTGAAGGTACAGGACCCAACGTTGCCTGGTGGATCAACACAGAGTCCGGGTTAAAGCAGGGTCTTGCTCTCCCCTGCTGCTTCAAGAGGGTCTGCCTCTGCCCTCTGAGGGGCCGGCGACACAAAACGGGCAGGATGGGACGGACCAGGGGATGGTGGAGGGCAGACTGAGACTCAGGTGCCCGGCTGGGGTCTGGTGCAAAGAGCTGCCAGGGCTTTCCAAGGCGTCCTGAAGAGCGAGGGAGATCTAGCTGCCACCCGAGGGGAAGTGGATGGGGGGAGGGGGTGGGGATGGGAGACGTCTAAGACACATGACTGTGGTTGACGTATTTTGCATGGTGTGCGAGGGGTGAGAACTGGAATGACAATTAAGGAAAGGAGGAGAAGAAAGGAGCCGGGCTTTGGGGCAGGACGTCTGGGCCGGAACCCCGGGTCTGCGGCTCCCCGGCGGGTAACACCAGGCCAGTTGCCTGGCCCGCCCGCACTGCACGTTCCTCAAGCCTGAAATGGCAGTGACAGGCGGGCCCTTCCCTTACAAGGTGCCTGTGAGGATTAAGTGAGATGCTACACACGGAGCGGGGCGCTCAGACTGCAGGCCCATAGTAAGAGCTCAATGAACAGTAACCATAACTGTCATTTGGAACCCACTCAAGGTTCTCAACCTCTCCAGGGGCGATAAATGCCCCAAAGAGTGCTATCAATCTTTACTGGACAAGCGGGAACCCTATTGTAGAGATGTGCCTTATGCGGAGGAGGAGGAAGAAGGGATAATTTACTTAGCACTTGCCCAGTGCTGTATTTCGGGTTGACGTACATCTCTAGAATCTGACGCCTTCCCTTTTCCCTAATTAGCCATCACCTGGGGTGACGACTCCGAGAAATCCACACAACTAGGTTCTGTACCTTTTTACCGGCTGTAGGACTGTAAGTTAATAAGGCTCTTGGGGAAAACCGTTAGAAGTATAAAAAAAAAAAAGTTTAGTAGTGTATCATTAGAGAAATAGACTCCAAAAGGCACCCAACTTCCCCATAAGTCTGATTTGCGGGTACAAGAAAGCCACCACCGCCAGACAAGTCCCTCCGGGAGGCGCCCTGCCCTGACTCCCTGGCGGCGGCTCAGGAACCAATGTCACAGCGTCAGCTGCTGGACTGTGTCCTCCCCACGCTTCGAGTAGTGCAAACTCTCCCTCTTTCTAACGTTTTCAAACAAGCCTTGCTGGGTGGAAACCAGGAATTTTGTGCTTTTGTTCCTCTTTGTTTCACGTGTGCAAATACTGGCGAGCGTGTGGGTGATGCCCGGGCCTTTAACGGTTTCTCAAGCTGGTCAAGGCCCGGAGGCCGGCCTGGTGTTCAGCCCTGTGCCAGATCGGGACACTGAGCACAAGCACACGCCTCTCCCTGGACTTGCCTGGTCTGGGGGTGGGGGGGACGGGGCAGCGGCCGGTGCAGCGCATATCCAATCACCTTATTCCTGCGGATCAGACCCTTCACTGCGCCCCACTGCCGCCAGGAGAATGTCCCCGGCTCCGTAGCCTCCGTGACTTACCTACCGTGGGCTCTATGCCCTCCGCCTCTGTCCAGGCCTCCGTTCCTCCACTCCGGCACCAACCCACCCTGCGCTTTCTCCCCACCACGGGGAGCTCACCAGTCCCCCCGCCACCTCGTGCCTGTGCGGTGTGAGGGCGCCTCGCTCCTGCCTCGGGCCCCGGTCACCCCACGCTGCAGGTTCTGTCATCGCCCGTCTCTCCTCCTAACTGTGCTGTTCTACCTACCTAGGCTGGCCTGAGGTGCAGAACTCTATTCTTAAAACCCTAGGGCTAAGCCCAGGGTCTGGCAAGCAGAAGCGAGGGTCTCGCTAAGTGTTTATTGAGTTTTTAAAAAATCATGTCTGGAAAGTATCCGGGAGTCCTCAAGTGACCCCAAACCATGCTACCTGCCCCGCCCCCCCCCCCCAACACACAAGCGTCAGTCCTGCTCCAAGGGCTGATCTAACGGGGTACGTTCAATATGAGCGCCACGAGCCACCCTTGTTTTCTAGAACTGCAGACTGCGAGTCTTTCTCTGAAGCATCACTTTACACAAGTCAGAAACTGTAATTTCCACTTTGCTGCACCTCTGAGTACAGGCGGCAGGTAAGTAACAGAGTCCCTGAAAGGCAAGCGATCTGGCTGCCCGGGTCTCCAAGCACGTGCCCGACGGGCTCCTGAGAAGCGTGTGCGCGCCGGGGTCCCTTCCTCCAGCCGCGTGGGTGTTTCCCTTCTTCTTGTCCAAGGGCTACAGGAGGGCCTCCCCTCAGCCTCCGCGTGGTTGTCAGGGTAATCGGTTCGCTTACAGCAAGTGCAAATGGCACAGGTCAACGCTAGGGGACGCTCTGGCCGCAGGTAAAAAGCTCAGATCACATCCTGAAGGCCGAGGGCCCCAGATGAAACCCGCTGCTCGGCCTCAAGGTTTCAAAGAACTTCAAACCCCACCCAGAAACTAAGAACACCATGCATTAGAGAGAATGATGGCACGGACCCGAGTAAGAAGCCCTGACGCTCCCTTCATGCCTTCGTCCGCTCCCATTTCCAGCAGTCGGGACTCACACTACACAGAACTGGATGGAACCTACCAGGAACGCCCAACGCGCTTGCCTTTCAGATCTGCCAACAAACATCCACTGGAGAGTCCCAACGCATTTTGGTTAAATCCCCTTCTTTCAACGTTTATTTATTTTTGGGACAGAGAGGGACAGAGCACGAACGGGGGAGGGGCAGAGAGAGAGGGAGACACAGAATCGGAAACAGGCTCCAGGCTCGAGCCATCAGCCCAGAGCCCGACGCGGGGCTCGAACTCACGGACCGCGAGATCGTGACCTGCCTGAAGTCGGACGCTTAACCGACTGCGCCACCCAGGCGCCCCTTAATCCCCTTCTTTCAAAACTCACAGCTTTTCCCCTCCTTCTCCTGCTTCTCAATAGGAAGTGATTCAAAGGCCACACGGACAGAACGGAAACCCACAGCTTTAAAAGATTCTTGCCACGGAATGAAAAAACTTCTCCGAATGACTAATCTTTTTACACCAAAAACCACAGCGTGCCTCAGCACTCACCCTATATGGAGGCACGGAGTCTGGGAGGGGGACTGAACCCATCGGAAGAGGTCGGCCGAGGCCTGCAGAGGCCCTTCCTGGGCTGCCCACCGGCAGCAACGAACCGTGTTCAGCCGCGAGCCGCGGCGGCAGCCCCAGACCTACCTTCAAGGTCTTCACGGCCACCGTCAGGCTGTATTTCTTCCACACGCCCTCGTACACCTCTCCGTACTGGCCGCCTCCCAGCTTGTGCTTCATGGTGATGTCCGTGCGCTCCATCTCCCACTTGTCGTAGTTGGGGGACACGCCGTAGACGGTGGGCTTGTTGCGCTTGGGGGCCGGGTAATGGAGAGTGGTGATGAGCCCGTCCGCCACAGTCGAGTGATGATGAACCAACTCCGCCAAAGTGTTGAAGCGGCTCTCTGAGGAGACGTAGAGCTGAGGGAAACAGAGACAGCACAGCCTTCAGCCCACGGGTGCACACACACCCAGACAACTCTGCTGAGCCTAAGTGAGTGTGCAGAAAATCACTTAGACTGTGCTCCTCGACACCTGCTGTAATTTACTTGCCGAAGCAGAAAGATACAATAAAATGCCTCAGGGCCTTTGCGCCTGCTGCTCCCTCTGCCTGAAATCCTTCGGCCACTTAATCATCATACGCCTGGGTCTCCCTTACCATTCCGAGCCCAGGGTAAATGTCATTGTCACTGTGCCACTGGCCCTAGTCATCACCCAGCACTAGTCATCAAATCACCTTCCTTCCTTCTCTGCATTGTACTTACCGCTGGCTAATCGGTCCCTGTTTATCTGCTGGATTACTTCCTGTCTGTCAACACCTTCTAGAATGTCAGCTTCTTGAGAGCAAAGCCCTAAGTGGTCTGTTTTTATCCTGGATCCCCAGTGTGGAGAACAAGAAATGAGCACATAATAGGCACTAAATAAATGCCTGTTGATTACATTAACGAAGAGCAGAACTTAGTATTTGCAGACTAAGAAAGAAAGGTTTTTTTTTTTACGTTTATTTATTTATTTTTGAGGGACAAAACCTGAGCGGGAGAAGGGCAGAGAGAGAGAGACAGAGAGAGGCAGACACAGAATCCGAAGCAGGGTCCAGGCTCTGAGCTGTCAACACGGAGCCAGATGTGGGGCTCGAACCCATGAACTGTGAGATCATGACCTAGGCCGAAGTTGGACGCTTAACCGACTGAGCCACCCAGGTACCCCAAGAAAGTAATTGTTTAAAATTACGCTTATTACCTGAAACCTAGAATTATTACTTATAGTTATATAATTACCCAGATCTAAACGGTGACCCGAGATGGAAATCACTAAACAAAACAAAAATCTCTTTCTCCTTCTTACTCCCTCGATCTGGGCTAAGGAGCACCGGAGGCCAAGGCTTGCAAGCCCCGGCTGGATGCCACCATGGGTGCCCCTGGTCAGCTCGTGCCAGGAATGGATCGGGGGTGCACAAGGGACACACAGCCTCCTCCGCCGTGGGGCAGGGACGAGAGAGGATTATAGACACGAGTGCACACAACCCGTCCACGTGTGGTTCTCGTCTGAACACACAGGAAAGGAAAGGAAGAGCAGCTGACAGACAGCAAGCAGTGGATGGTGACACTGTCTTTCTTCTTCTCCTTTTCTTGTTCGTTTCAGGGAGGCGGTGAGGGATGCTTCCACATGAAACAATTCCACGTTGTGATCCACACAGGACCTCTGGGCTCCAGGCAGACAAGGGATCAGTGAACCTACCAGCTCACGAAGGGCAGCCAGCGAGGGTGGGAAGGGGGAAAGGACACTAAAAATCACGGCTAGGTGTTTGTAAGATTTGCCCTGACTACGGAGACGGAGGAGGAACGCGGGTTTGAAAGAGCGGTGATGCCTGGGGCAGGAAGACAAAAAGGGAACAGGAGTCACCTATAGCTGCAGTGTCTTGATTACCTAAAAACAGAAGAGGGGGGTGGGGTGGAAACAGAAAAAGGAAGAAAAAGCCTGAAGCACACAGCAGCCCAAGGCCTTGGCTGTCGGTTCTGGGAGGCTCCCCACCACTTTCTGTAAGTTTGTCATAGGAAAGAATTAAAGTATTTTCAAAGAAGAAAATATTAACGAATGCATGAGTCGATGCCATTTGCAACCCTCGAGAGGGTAAATAGGATTCTTTCTCGCTTGGGGAGATGACAGAGTTTTAAAACTCAGGCGAGCCAGTGGCCAACTCTGACTTAGGGGTTTGTAATTTACAATCTTTTGGTTGCAATCCTAGCGAAACAAAATTCTTGAGCAACCCAAGAACTGTCGAGAAAGAGCCTCTAGCTCTGGGGGACTCGTCCCTCTGCAAGACGGTGCCCCTCAATGGCAGGACCTTTCAGGGTGAGGAGAAGGCCCACCAGGAGGCCCCACCGAGAACCTGACTCTGAGTGTGCTCAGGGTACACGAAGGTGTTGGGAGGAGCCAGGGAGCACAGGCACTGCCAGCCTGGGAGCTTGCCCCGAGCCGAACGTCCACACGGTGACATCCTTGGCACACTTGTCAGTGGGCAGGGCCGGGTGGGATGTGGGGACAGCCCCTAATCCCACCCCTCTCTGGAAACCTCTGTCAGTTGTCCAACTACCTCACTGCAGGTGCCAAGCGTCCCGAGCCGTCCTGTTTCAGGGCAGCTGTTTTCGCTACCATGGATTGTAGACAAGAGGGAAGAAGTGCTCCCTGGAATCCAAGCCCCCCCCCCCCCCAGCACTGGCACAGTAAGAGCCTGTCCACCTGCTGGGCTCCCCAGGGTGGGGGGGGGGCGCAGGTCACCTGGGAGCAAGGCTCATTACCTACCTCTCCCCTTCTCCCCGGCAGCTTGCAAGGAGTGCTCTCCAACCTGAGGATCGGATGGAGGATCGAGTTCCCTCAACCACCCAGAATGCTAATGGCTCCCCAAGCCCTCGTTTATGCAGAATTCGTGCTTGGTCCCCTTTGATTCCCTCACAGGCTCTTCCTGCTAGAGATTTCAGAGTTACGGGAGGTTTTGCTGCTCACACCCACTTTATCCTTTTCTGTAATTAAATGTACAGACCCTGTGACTTAGAGTTCATCTGTCAGCATAAAATTTACATACCGACGCTTATTAAATATTAAAACTACTCTCCCTTTCCAGCGCAGTGCACGACCATCTTCTAACAGTCAAGTCTGGAGGCTTCCTTCTGGTTAGTTCTGAGCTCCGCGCATTCTGCTAGTGAGCTGGGTGGTCTGCATCAGGAATTCATGGCCCGATCAAAGAAAGTGAAATTAGCATCATGAACGGCATGTCATTATCCTGCGCACCTGATCACATAAACACTCTGGCTGCTCAGCCGAGACTGGGCCTCTTCCTGACCGCACAGGAACCCCAAAGACAGGACCTGTCAAAGCAGCTCACCAGAAACAGCTTTTCCTCCTGAGAGCCACACGGCCAGGCTTATCAGCGCTTAGTCCTGTGCCCCCTTTAGGGGCCTCAGACCCCGGAGTCCCACCCGGGAGGTACTGGTTACAGGTTACAGGCAGCCTGGCCTGAGAGCTTCCAGAGTCCAGCAGAAAGGCAGGACTTACTAATTAAGCAGGACTTAATAGTGCTCCGAGCCTCCCGGGCAAGGGGAAAGTCAGCCACGTGTTAGCAGGCTTTTCCCCGGAATGCCTGCACCTGCCAAGCCACCGCCAGGGTGGGTAAATCTTAAAAACTCAAGAGGTTGCGCGGTTGGCCCGTCCTGCCACCTCTGCTAAAGCTTAAGCCCAGATTCCATTCCTGTCAACCTGAACCTGTCACTTTGGCAGACCGTGACAATAAGCGTCACCTGGGAACTTCTTTGAAGAAAAGGACAAGGGCTTCAAGGGCTACAAGGAATTGTGGATGCTGACAGTGGCATCCCACAGAAGTAAATGAAGTGCAGACACAAATAGCCAGAACTAAAAATGATCCAGGCAGGGGGCTGGTGGAGAGGAAGGCGCCTTTGACTCCACTGAGCTGGCAGGGAGCTTGGAGAAAGCCCAGAGCACGACACTCTGACCCCGGGGTACAGGGAGGTCTCCAGACTGTCAAGAGTCCTAGGAGCGGCGATGGCTCAGTTTGGCGCGGCCCGTGCAAGAGTCCAGCTCGAAGCTCCCCGAGCCCCGGGGCCGACTGGCCGGCCACAACTGCTGTCGGGGCTTAGGAACATGACAACAGCAGCGGTCCAGAGCCAAGAGGGCGGAGGCGCCAAAGAAATCTTTTGGGGCCTTGGAGAAGAGTCTGCCATATTCAGCCGTTGTGTGAAGATTAGCCGTTTGAAAATAAGAATTAAACTTATGCAACCCCAGCCCGTCCCTCCTACCGACCTTAAATTTTCCCCTCAGAAATCCAAAAAGGATTGCATCAAGGCTCTGCTATGTGAGTTCTTTTTTTTCCAGGGCCGAGCCACACGGTCTCATGCGTGGCTGTGGTGCTGCCCCCACTACCTCTGACGCTGTTCCCCTCATTCCAGGAACATGATCCCACCCCACACAGCCCCTCAAGTGCAGGCCTCACAGAGAGGCGCCTCCGCAGATGGCCGGCCCGATAACCCCGGGGGCTGAGCCGTCTCCAGGTGCTCGGACAGCTGAAGGGAGGGGTCTCTGCCAGGGAGGAAGACGGCAGGAGGCCCAGCACGCTTGGGTGAGGCGCCCAGTGACGGACACCGCCCGGTCGAATGAGTTCCCTGTGCTCCAACCCGGAATGAAAGGAGCCCCTGGCACACCCCTGGCCGGCTTTTCAACTGACGGGTTGGCATCCTCATCGGGCGCCTCTCAAATTCCCTGAATCATGTATCGCACACGCAGGCCTTACTCTCTCCCTCTGAACAGTATTTTGGACCAACCGGAGGCTAATGAGTCGTCAAACTAGATCATGCCTGCCCGAATCTGTTCCTAGGATGCCTGATTAAACAACTCCAGGGAGGAGAAACCGGGGCCCCGCGCAGCACAGACCTCAACTGATTACCGCTGGATAAACAGCACCGATGGGAAGCAAGCTGTCAGCTCCGGGAGATCACCTCCCTCACGGGCGGGGTGCTCTGCTCTTCTAATTCACTACAGAGGAACCCTTGTGGTCTGAAGGCACGGTTTCACAGGGCCCGCCACCCTGGAACGCACCCTTGCAGAATGGAAGGACCCAGCTCCACATCCGGGGTAGGGCGAGGCCCCAAGACACAAGCTGATAGGGCCGGTCTGTGGTCACGCATCAGCAAGCCCCTGTGCTCCTGTACAAACCTCTGCCGTCACAGAAAGCACCAGGTAGCAGCAATAAGGACTTCGGCCAGAAGACGTTGGGATGTGTGCGGAAGACAACAGAGAAGAATGTGAAAAAGAGAAATACACATGCATTCGTTTTGGGTGAGGAGAGCCATAAAAATGCTAAGAGGGTTAGGAGGAGGGCCCAGCCCTACCCCACACTGAAACATATTTTAATTCTGGTATGGGAAGAGAACAGAGAGCAGATCGCAGACCCAAAACGCATAAGCTATAATCTGGTATATTTCAAACATGTAGGAAAAGATAAATTTAGTAAATGGTACAGGGATCCCTCAAAACACAATGCGCATACGTTACACGTTAACGAGAGACCGTCGTGGCCCATCTGGGACAGAGGTTTCCACGAGCCTGCTAAACACAGTGTTGATGAGGCGGAGGGACACAAGCCCTCCTACATTTCTCATACAGGGTGCAGGTCTCACCAGAAGCAAGGGGAGGAAACACATTTGTCCAATTTCTATGGGAGGTAATCTAACAACATCCACATAATGTTTTTTTTTTTAATGTTCATTTATTTTTGAGACACAGACAGATTGTGAGTGGGGTAGAGGCAGAAAGAGAGGGAGACATAGAATCTGAAGCAGGCTCCGGGCTCCGAGCTGTCAGCACAGAGCCCGACGTGGGGCTCGAACTCGTCAACCGCGAGATCATGACCCGAGCCGAAGTCAGACACTCAACCGACTGAGCCACCCAGGCGCCCCAACATCTACACAAGTACTGAATGCACAGAACCTTCAATCAGTTCCAGCAACTTACTTCGCATACACTTACACCCAAAACAAAGTATGTGCGATATGTTCAAACCGCAGGATGTGACCCACTAGGGGGTCTATGAAATAAATTGAGGGGATTCTGGCCAGAACTTTTAAAGAAAATGAAACCGAACTGAATGGAATACAAAATACCAAGAGTGCATCACCTCTAGCGAGGGTAAGCAGGGTTTCAAGAATCTTCTGCTACCAGTGAGGACTGGGTGCTACTGTAAATGTTTTCATACAGTGTGCCAACATTATTTTTTTTTTAAAGGTGTGAAAGCCACCTCGTGTTATTTATAACAGCCAAAGATTGGAAACCACCTAAAACTCAACCCCCAGGGGACTGCTTCAGTAGTGAATGACGGTCCATCCGCACGAGGCAGTCAGTAAGAATGAGGTGGCTCTAAATGCACTGCGGGAAAGCAATCTTCAAAAAATATTACTAGGTGGGAAAAGCAAGATGCAGACCAGTGTGGAGTTTGCATCATTTGTGCTTTTTAAAAAAATATAAACGTAAACCTGTACTGGGGAACTCTGAAAGAAACTGGTCACGGGGGGGGGGGGGGCCCTCTGGGCAGGGGAATGGAATTAGGAGACAGAATTATTTCCCACTCTAATTCATTTTGTTCTTTTTTTTTAAAAACATGTGCACACATTACATGCCATTTAAAAAACACATCCAGCATCTAGACCCAGCCCGATAATCTGCTATCTCCACCCTCGACACTGGCAGAGTGTCTATAGCAGGGTCTATAGCAGGGCCCGAGCCTGGTTCCATCGATCACGTAGGATGTGATTCTGGGCAAGACATGTTCTCCCTCTTAAGTTCCCATCTCCTTAAGGCAAAAATGCCGTAGTCCACAGCAACCTCTGCCCCGAGGACTGAAGTGAAGTCTAAATGAGACTGAAAAATGCAGCGGCCAACAGCAGGACCCCAGAAAATGTTAATCCCCCCCATCCCTTCGTGGACTCTTAAGCAGTGTTCATATAAAGATCACAAAACCACATATATCAACTCTTCTACAAAACTACAAGTGAGGGGGTGCCCAGGTGGCTCAGTCAGTTAGGTGTCCGACTCTTGGTTTCGGCGCAGGTCACACGATCTCACGGTTCGTGGGTTCGAGCCCCGTGTCAGGCTCTGCACTGGCAGCACAGAGCCTGCTGGTGATTGTCTTTCTCCCTCTCTGCCCCTCCCCTACTCATGCTGTCTCTGTCTCTCTCAAAATAGATAAACTTAAAAAAAAAAACAAAAACAAAACACAGGGGCCCTTGGGTGGCTCAGTCGGTTAAGCGTCTGACTTCGGCTCAGGTCATGATCTCACAGTTCACAAGCTTGAGCCCCACATGGGGCTCCGTGCTGAGGGCTCAGAGCCTGGAGCCTGCTTGGGCTTCTGTGTCTCCCTCTCTCTCTGCCCCTCTCCTGCTTGCATAGTCTCTCCCTCAAAAACAAACATTAAAAAACAAACAAAAAACCCAAAAACTACAATCTGGGTTGGGAAATCTCTTGCTATGATGACGCGATCTCATTTTTGTTTAAAAACCGTGTGTGTGGGGGCGCCTGGGTGGCGCAGTCGGTTAAGCGTCCGACTTCAGCCAGGTCACGATCTCGCGGTCCGTGGGTTCGAGCCCCGCGTCGGGCTCTGGGCTGATGGCTCAGAGCCTGGAGCCTGTTTCCGATTCTGTGTCTCCCTCTCTCTCTGCCCCTCCCCCGTTCATGCTGTGTCTCTCTCTGTCCCAAAAAATAAATAAATGTTGAAAAAAAAAAAATTAAAAAAAAAAAAAAAAACCGTGTGTGTGTATGTATGTATCCGCATGTAGACACATACACACGTGATCTTATCTGTAGGAAGAATGTCATGTACTTATTTGGGGGAAGTGCTCTTAAGGGGCCTTTTACCCTAAAAGTACCTATCTATTACTGCAACTTCACCCACTGGAGATGAATTGCTATCACAATAGATTTTTTAAAAAGGAAGAGACTTAATATCTTACAAGAAGTGCGTCCAAGAACCAACAGGTAATTCCCCGTCTTATGAAACAGCTAACAACAAAACCCCAGCAGGACAGGCACAGGGCCACGCCAGGCCCATGGACTTATCACATCACGTGATCAGTCCTCGACAGAAGGTCTTTCACAGGCTACCGGAACGCCGCCTGCGGTCACTTGAAGATGTCGTCTTCGAGCGCCTTCCTGGTTGAGCTTTGCCGCGGTAACTTCTCAACCCCAGTGGCAGGAGCTCTGGGTCCTCCTGGCCAAAGACTAGCTGCCCATCCCCGCGCCCCAGCCCCAGCCGGTCAGCTCCCCCGTCTGGGGTCCCCTACCTTGCCATCAGAAGCAGTGTTGATCCTGTAGTGGTACACTCTCCCTTCGTATCTCAGCGAGATGGACCTCTGGCCAGGGCTGCTCTCGCTCTCCCGCACCAAGAAGCTGCCGTTGATCCCGCTGCTCAGCAGGTACTCGGCGGCGTTGCGGGACACGGGCCCGTGGTACCAGGAATGTTTCTCCAGACTGTTGACCGGCGTGATGTAGTTGCTTGGGACCCACCCTTGGCCATTTTTGGTTTGGGCCTCACACCATTCCCCATTGTGGTTGTAGCCTAAAACCCGGAGCTTTTCACCTTGGAAGAGAATCAAACCAGACGTCAGCTTCCGACGCTGGCTTTGTTCGTTCCCATGTATTCTTATAGGATTACTAAAAAATCTCCAAATTCCTAACTACCTGCTTCGCTGGAACAAATCCGCATAAATATACGCATTTGTGGGTCTGTAGAAGAATACAGAACATGCAGAGAAATACACAGCCTCGGTTTTCGTAAATAACATATATGCTGCGTTACCCAAGTGTTCTGTTCCTAACATAAGGAAGTTTCTTAGGGAAAAGATACTTTTTCTTAGAACAAAATAAGATAAAAATAAAAGGTGTTTTCCGTGTCTGGCCCATGTGTCCCTTTAACTATGAAATAGGGGATGTGCGTTTTCTAAGGACTTATCATATAGGAACTCTTCTCCTTTAGGAAAAGTGGCTCTCTTATAAAGATGCTGGGCTTTTTTGGGGGACCTCCCTGCATTCCAACTTTAAAGCTGCTCTTTCAGGCAGTGAAGGGGTATTCAGTCAAGCCCCAGTTTCCCCTGATTTCTGTCTCTTGCAACCCCCCGTTTGGTCTGTGGCCCTTTTACCTTTAGTGATGCTTAGGGTGTTATCCCCACTGGCCACAAAATCATACAGTGCAACAAAAAGGTTGGGGTCATTTTCACTGGGACCAGCAAGAAGGTTTTCCTTGGAGTTCCAACGAGCTGCTTCGCTCAGACCTTGGGGCTCAAAGTCAGACGCTACTGGCCTCTGAAGGGCTTCTGGAAGAGAAAAGAAGAAAGGAACAGGAAGAGGTGGGGAAAAAAATTAGTTTCATTCTCAGGAGCAAAAATAGTCTGCTTCCATCATTATACTTTTCTAATTTATTTTGTAACATCGACACGCATTTTGTATTAAGAAGAAAGGCCGTAGAATAAAAACGGACCCTTCCTTCCCCAAACCCTGTGAAAAGCATCAAGCATTTTCCTTCCAAGGTGGCAATTACTGTTCCTAAATAGCTTCAGCTTTTTAAGCTCATTCATTCAAAATGAACTCAGTTAAAAACGGAAATACTCCAGGGTGCCTGGGGGGCTCGGCTGCTTAAGCATCTGACTTGCTCTTGGCTCAGGTCATGATCTCCCGGTTCGTGGGTTCGGGCCCCACATCGAGCTCTGTGCTGACAGTGCAGAGCCTGCTTGGGACTCTCTCTCTCTCTGCCCCTCTACCCTGCATCTCTCTCATTCTCAAAATAAATAAAACTTAAAAAAAAAAAAAAAAAGAATACTTAAAAAAAAGAAAAAAAAAAAAACAGAGGACGCCTGGGAGTGGGGGGGGCAGTGGGGAGCTCAGCTGGTTAAACGTCTGACTTTGGCTCCGATCACGATCTCATGGTTCGTGGGTTTGAGCCCCGCATCAGGCTCTGTGCTGACAGCTCGGAGCCTGCTTCAGATTCTGTGTCTCCCTTTCTCTCTGCTCCTCCCCCACTCAAGCTCTCTCTTGCTCTCGCTCTCAAAAATAAACATAAAAAAAATTTTTTTTTATAGCTCGTTGTAATGAACTGCTACAACATGAAAAACAAGGGTCTTTCGATGCTAGCTTTTTGTACTCCTGACTGAAGTAAACCTTTAGGAATTGTATTTGCTAAAAGAGTAAATCCCAAATTCTGTCATTACTGTTTGGTCATCTCATTTTATGAATCATGAGGGCAAAGATCATTTCAAGGAAGAGGGTCTTGTAACACTGCCATTTCCTAGAAGCCTTAGTGATAGGCTGGGCCCCCATTCTCTTGAGTGTTCACACGGGCTCTAAAGGCACACCTAGCACAATCGTGATGGGGGACTGATCAATTAACCAAAAAAAGCTAGTCAAAAGCAGAAAATTATCTTTTTCAAAGATGTGGGATCTCCCACCCCCACCTGAATGCATGTTGGTTTGCTGGCCTTGACTCCGCGGGGACAAGGCCTGTCCTTTCGAGGGTGGGCACGTGTGAAGCATATTCCCAGCTTCAGCTTGCTGCAGGCTGGGGGAAGAATGGGAGCCATATGCCACCTATTGGCTTACGACTGGCTCGCTCTCACCCGGTCGGGTAGCAACGTTTAAAACCACCCGTCCTTACTGACTACGTCTGAGGCGTCCATCTGAAGTTCACAGGTACAATTCTCTTCTTACAACTGCATTTCACTGGTTTCATATTGAACGAGTAATGAAAACAACAAGCGTATCTGAAATAAAGAGATGTGGAAAGAAACACAAGGGGCTCTCGGTGTGGCCAAGAGCAGTAAGCGGCAGCGGAGTGGCGGGGTTGGCTGCCCTATCCCGTGGGTCCCGGGCACTGGGGAGGCAGGTGTTACAGGAAGCAAGAGCATGACGGTCAACCCAACAAGTCGGTCACGTGGAAGCGAGTCCAAAGAGCTTCCATTGTGGTTATATTAAGTAACACCATTAGCCTCAGGATTCTTAACGTGAAAGAACTCTTACATATCAACAGAACAAGATAAATCCTCCACCGGGGGAGGGGGGGGAGGGAGGAGGAGGAGGGAGGATGGACCAAAGCATGAATAAGCAATTCACAGGAAATTTAAATTACCATTAAACTTGGGAAACACGTTAAGCCTGGCTAATAATCAAAGAAAAGCAAAGTCTTCGTCAAATGGGCAGACCCATTTTCTTGAGGCTAAGTCAGTGTAAGTCTTGAAATGGAACTCTCATGCAAAGCTAGCGGCTGCTGTAGAAAGTGCTACACACGTTAGGAGGGCAACTGGAAATACAAATTGAATCTCTAAATAATTCCATAACCTTTGATCAACCTCCAGCAATTATCCCTAGACCCACATGATTATTTCTAGATACTGATTGTTTTTAACATTTTTCAAGTGTTTCTGTTTGAGAAAGAGCGAGAAAGCGAGCGTGTGCACGAACCTGAGCCGAAGTCAAGTCGGAAGCCTAACCGACTGAACCACTCAGGCGCCCCTCTATATACTAACTTTGAAATAACAGCACAGAAAAAGAGAAGTACAAGGTATCTATCAATAAAAGATAAGTTAGTTTGTGGTCCATCCGTAATACAGAATACATTCAGAACATCATTCAAGGTATCTCTGCAAAAAAACTACTACTGGCTTGGGAACATACTCATAATAATGCATTAAGTGCTCATACTACAACCTGTCATTTGCAGCGTGATCCCAATTTTGTAAAAACTGAACGAAGTACAGAAGGGACGGCACCAAACTGTGAACAGTAGTTGACAAGGGGGGGGGGGGTAGGATTACAAACATCTAACATTTGCTCTATTCTTTTCTGTATTTTGGCTCATTTCTCACAATGGATGTGGGTTGTTTTTGCAATTCAGAAAACAGTGACAAAAATAGAGACACTGCCATCGTAAGTAGAAGCCAGCTGACACTTCCACAATTGACCATCTAACCTGAAAAAGAACCCTGGGGGAGGAGGAATCTCCTCGTGCTGTCCTGAAAAAACATTTGTGCACCTCCCTCTGGAGTCCCAACCTCGTGGCCATGAGCACACAACTCTGGCAGACCAGGCCCACACAGGAAATTAAACCAAAGTCGTGAATACAGAAATGCTTTTCTTCTCAAATGCCATTTGACCTCTTCTATCAAACATTCTGCAGCATCTGGATTTGATCAAAGTTACATAATCAGGGGGAAGTGGCCTGGAAAACACCTGGAAGAGGCAGAAGGCCGATACTCGCCCAGGGTTGCCTGTGGATTTCAAGTCAGGGTTCAAGAGGGACTGTCCCCGACAGGGAGACCGATGCTGGGAATTTCTCGCGAGGGGATGAGCCCTTTGTCAGGAAGGAAAGGGCCTCCCACCGCTTTTTGATTCAACAGGACGTCAGGAAATCCAAGGCAGTCTCTCCGTCTTCCTCTCCAGTTCTTGCTCCATTCCACAAATTTATGGCCGAAGCCCAAAGGGAAGTAATGCCCACGCATGCCTCTGGATGGAGACACTGAAGTGTAGCCACAGTCCGACACCAAAACCTTCCAGTCAATTCCCCATCCAGGCTGATGTCAAAATTGACTCACGGTGCATAAATGCCAAGTTCCTTGCTTCATCTCATAGTGAACTGTGCTCGTCAACCTTAAAAATGATCACGGCTCACAAGGCCAACGCTGCAGAATGTACTTAAACCTTCCTGGCTTAACGCGGGGACTTTCTGCCAGGCCCACTGTCAGGAAGTCGGACCCTTAAAGAAGCCCCGAAGCTTCATTCAAGAAAGATGTCCAAAATAGCTCCCCTTTTCTGTTCTTCCAATGGATCTTTTGGTTATTGTTAAGTCTCGGGAAAGAAATTTCAGCGTCTGTTGGGGCGCCTGGGTGGCTCGGTCGGCTAAGCATCCAACTTCGGCTCCAGTCACATGATCTCATGGTTCGTGAGTTTGAACCCCACATAGGCTCTATGCTGACAGCTCAGAGCCTGGAGCCTGCTTCGGATTCTGTGTGCCCCCCGCCCCCCCGCCCCAACTCTCTGCCCCTCCCCTGCGCCCATGCTCGGGCCCATGCCTGCTTAACTTATTTCTAAGTAAATATTCTAAGTATTCTAAGAAAATGGCTTGGGTCTTTAAAGTACAAGTTAAAGATCTTCTTATACAAAAATAATCCTTTCTTAAAGTTGTGAGTCAGTGATCAAAAATGTTTACGGAAGATTCTCAGATAAGGCGTATCTGGTCTAGACGGCCAGGGGCTGCCCCTGCACCCACCAAGGGCAAACAGGAAGAGAAGTAAAATGTTGGTGACCTTCAGGGGCCGTGAGGCTACTTCACAGACCCGAGGGGAGGGATTTCACCTCCAGGGAAAACATCCCTGGGAAGCTTCCCACCTTCCTGTAGGTGCTGGTGCCCAAGGCCTCGGTTTGCTCTGTGAGTACAGAGCGGAGTGGGCTCTCCTTCAGTGGGGAGGGGAGGGGA